CAGGGGGCCGCACGCGGGGCCACACGCGCGACAGAAGACAGCTATGACGCACGCAAGACACACACGGGCACCACGCACTAGACACGGACACACAACACATACAGACACGTCCGTGCACACGCAACATGTCTTGCACGCACACACACGTATGTGCACACGCATGCATTTGCACACACGCGCACACTCTTCCGCTCGCTCTCACTCAGGGCCCTCAAGGCGGCTTCCTCCTCTGACACCACTATTCTGGAATCTTCCAGCCCAGACCGTGCGTGCCCCTGGGAGCAGAGCAGCTAGTCGTCCACGCCTAGCGAAGCGCCACGGATACCCCAAACAGAAACCGCGGCCCCCGGGGTCGGCCCGTGGCGCTCAACCCAACGGCGGGCGCCCTACCTTCTTCTTCCGTGCCCCAGGGGGGCCCCGCCGCGGCGCCCGGACCACAGCTTTCTTCTCGGGGGTGAAGTCCTGGGGGGGAGACGGGAGCTCACGCACTGTGGGGTCCACCCGCCCCCACCCTCCTGAGGAGCAGACCCTGCTCACCTGGTCACTGGTTTTCTCTGACTCAGACGAGCTCTCCGAGTTCTCCTCCTCGGACGGGGACAGGCTGGCTTGATCCAGGTCGCTGGAGGCCTTTCGAGCGCGTTTGGAGACCGACATCTGCAGGGAGTGGTCGTATCACACCGGGAAGGTTGCCTTCGTGGCAGGAGCCCCCCCCCGCACCTGGCACTCCCAGCCCAGGCAGAGCAGAGGCTCCGGACCCCTCTGGGGGCCAGGAACCCTCTGAGACTCTGACACAAGCATAAGCAGTGATCTTAGCCAGCATGGTGGCTCATACCTATGATCCTAGCACTTTGGGAGGCAGAGGTGAGAGGACTGCCTGAGCCCAGGGGTTCAATACCAGCCTAGGCAGCTCGGTGAGACGTCTCTACGATAAATAAAAAACTGAGCCAGGTGTGCTGGCACGCACTGTGGTTCCAGCTACTTGGAAGTGAGGCGGAAGGATCGCCCGAGCCCAGCAGGTCGACGCTGCGGTGGCTGTGAGCGTGCCACTGCACTCCAGCCTGGATGACAGAGCGAGACTCCGACTCAAAAAAATAAACAAATAATGAAAGTAATACCTTCTTCTAACAAAAGATTTGCTGCTAGGATCTGGGCCTTTGGGCACCCAAATCCTGGGAAGCAGTCAAAAGGTAATGGGGAGAAAACATCCGGAGGAGAAAACACACATCCACACAAAACTCTCCACTAACGTTCACAGCGACATGACTCATAATCGCCAAAAAGCACAAACAACCCAGGTAGTCATCAACAAATGGACAGACACAGTGTGGTCCATCGACACAGTGTGGAGCGTCACTCAGCCGTGAAGAGGAAGGAGGCTCTGACCTAGGCAATGACGTGAACGGACGCTAAGGACGCCATGCTCAGTGACACCCAGACACAAAAGGACACACAGTGCGCAATTTCACTCTATGAAATGCCCAGAACAGGCGAATCCACAGAGCCAGGATGTGGATTCGTGGGTGCCAGAGGAAGGGGTATGGGGCGTGATGGCTGATGGGGCTTATTTTGGGGGTGATGGAATGTTCTAGAACTAGAATGTTGCACAATTCTGCAAATATACTAAAAACCAGTGAGTCGTACACGTTAAAGGAGTGAACGTCGTGGCATGTGGATTCCATCTCAATTTTTAAAATGCATAATAAGAAACACAAAAAGCAACAGAAAGGGAGGGGAGGGCAGGGCCGGGCGCACCAGGTGCCACCGCCCACCCTACCTTCAGCGCCGACGTCTTCCTCTTCAGGCCGCTGCTGTCACTGCTCTTGTCCGAGCCCGAGTCGCTGTCCATCCTGTTGCTGGCAGCCGCCGCGGTCATGGCCGTGACGGCCATGACCCCCCGGTCGTCGTCGTCCTCGTCGGCGTCACTGCCGCCTGCCGGGCCGGCCTCCGGGGCCTCGCTGTCGGAGGAGCTCACCGGCTGCGAGCGGGGCAGAGACTGCGGGTCACCAGGAGTCCCAGGGGACTTGCAGTCAGGACCGCGTCCACGGCCTGGCCTCACACCCGGGTCCACTCTGCCCTTTACAGATGGGGAAACTGAGGCCGGAAATCTGAGGAACGAGGCGGGAGAGTGAGGGAGATACGTGCGTGGCGGGGGCCGGGGCCGGGGGCGCCTTGGGCAAGTGGCTCAGCTTCCACATCTGAGCAAGGGGGCGGCGTGGAGGGGGAACAGGTGGCGTGTAAAGCGCTTCGGGCAGAGCCCCAACGGCAAGGCGTCCAGAAACGACCGCCCTTTCTCTTCAAAAGTCCCTCATCGTGACAAGGAGGAAGATGACCCGGGACAGGCCCCCAGGCCTCCGCCCTCCGGGCCCTGCTGTGTCCACCACACTCAGAGCACCTGCGCAGGCAGCGACAGCCACAGTCAACACTGGGTGTCGCTGCTTGTACGCCTGCCACGTGACCGAGGCACCCACTCGGCCGGCGTCTGCCAGGCAGTTCTATGCCGCGCACTGGGCAGAGAGCACACAGGTGACCGTGGCATGGTCCCCCGCCCCGGGGGCTGACAACCTGGTGGGAGAGGCTGGTCACAGCCACTTAAACAGACAAATACAACTCCACGCGCGGTGACAACAGGAAGAAGACGCAGTGTGTGGCTGTGAGGATGAAGAAGGGTGGGGGACGGGGCG